TAATATAGCAATGTAGAATATAGATTTTTGAAATTACAGAGTAGGCATTATTAAAAATTTGCCATGGTTTTTTATATATCTTTAGAAATGCTAGTATTTATAGTTCCTTTAGAATGAGGTTCCCACCAAAAATAAATGGGGCCGGACTTCCGGGAAAGATGGTGGAGTAGGAGGAACCTAAGATCACCTTATCTCATGCATACAACTAGATAACACCCACATCAATGTAAATAACCCAGAAAACGACTGAAGACTAGTGGAACAGACTCTCCACAACTAAATGTAGAGAAGAGGCCACACTGAAGAGGGTAGGAATGATGGAGATGCAGTCAGGAGCCAGACAGACCAGTAGGACTGTCCATGGGAGGGAGGGATGCCATGAGTACAGCGAAGGGAGAGTAGTTCCCCAAGCCAGGCACCCCAGGCATGGGGGACACACACAGGGAAGAGGAATCCCCATAACATATGACTTTGAAAATGAGAGGGGATCAACAATCACGGGGCTTACCACCTTGAATTCTAAAAATCTGGGAAAGCTGGGAGGATGATAGGAAACTGAGCCCCAAACCCTTATAAAGACAGCACAACAAACAGCTCCATGGAGATACAGCATAGAAGCAATAATTTGAAATATACCTGGAGTGTACAGGAAGCCTTGTTTACTAGTCAGAGCATGTCCTGGAGGAATCAGGATCATAGGGAAACTTCTCTAGGAACAGAGGAGCTAGTGGGCATTGTTTCCGACCCTTGTCCCCAGCCAAATACACAGACACTTGCAGGAGCCAATACAGTGACAACACTTATTACCTAACTTGCTAATACCCCCACTCCTGCATTCTCCTACATATCTGCACCCTCCAATACTCTTGGCCAGAACCCATCCAAAGTGGTGCCACTAGCCTGGTAGTGTGCAAGAAGTCTTGGCAGGAGCCAAAACCACTCCAAAGTGACTCCTTCCCTGGAGAGAGAGAAAGATAAGCACACACACACACATCAGTCCTACTGTAGCCCCAACAGTGGGCTGGGAGCAGACATCGGGTCTGACTATGGGTAATATCCACCAATGAAAGCTTCTCGGGGGACAACACAGGGAAAGTGTTCTACTGTTTGGCGCTACTGCACCTCTGGCAAATGCCTGGACTGACTCAACTCAGGCCCAAGATGGACCCAGACTGGCCCACTAGCAACACGGAACCAAATCCTGCCCAGAACAGGCAAAGAGAGTCATTGCAGACAACTGGACTGAAGGCAAACGTGACTCAGCCACAACAGTAGGACACACACAATACACATAGGAGACACCTCTAAAGTACCAGATTCTGATAAACAGGGGACATTGCACTGTAGGGCACTATACAACCTGTGGTTATAGTGGTATAAAGCCATTACTTTCAAGAGCAGGAATGTAGCTGACTTTCCTAGCACACAGAAACAGAGAGCTAGAGACTAGAGAAAATAAGGAGATGAAAAAATATGTCCCAAATAAAAGGACAAAATGAGACCAAGAATGCTAAATGAAATGGAAGTAAGTAAGATGCATGATAGAGGGCGTAATGTATTGGTTATAAAGATAGTCACTATACTTGAAAAGAAAGTGGAGGACATCAGTAAGACCCTCAATAAAGAGAAAGAAAACATAAAAAAGAACCAACCATATATGAAGGACTCAATAACAAAAATTAAAAATACACTAGATGGGGCACCTGGGTGGCTCAGTCGGTTAAGTGTCTGACTTCAGCTCAGGTCATGATCTTGCAGCTCGTGGGTTCAAGCCCCACATCAGGCTCTGTGCTGACAGCTCAGAGCCTGGAACCTGCTTCGGATTCTGTGTCTCCCTCTCTCTCTGCCTCTCCTCTACGTGCACTCTGTCTCTCTCTCAATAATAAATAAAAGCATTATTAAAAAAAATACACTAGATGGAATAAATACTAGACTAGAGGAAGCAAAAGAACAGATCAGCAGCTTGGAGGACAGAGTAACAGAAAGCAATCAAGGTAAACAGGAGAGAGAAAAAATAATAACAAAGATGAAAATAGACTAAGGGAACTCAGCAACACCATCAAGCATAACAACATTCACATTATAGGTATCCCAAAAGGAGAAGAGAGAAAAAGGGGGTCAGAAAATTCATCTGAAGAAATAACAGCTGAAACCTTCCTGAATCTGGGGAAGGAAACAGAAATCCAATCCAGGAGGCACAGAGCCCCAACAAAATCAACCCAAGGAGGTCCACATCTAGACACATAATAATTTAAATGTCAAAAAGTAGTGATAAACAGGGAATTTTAAAAGTAGCAAGATACTACCAAAAAAAAGTTACATATAAGGGAAACCTCATAAGGCTATCAGCTGATTTTTCAGCAATAACTTTACAGGCCAGAAGGCAGTGGCATGATATATTCAAAGTGCTGAAAGAAAAAAACTTGCAACGAAGAATACTCTATCCAGCAAGGCTATCATTCAGAATATAAGAAGAGATAAAGAGTTTCCCAGAAAAACAAAAGTTAAAAGAATTCATCACCACTAAACCAGCCCTACAAGAAATGTTAAAAGGGGACTCCTTGAGTGGAAAGGAAATACCATAAGTATAAGTAAGAAAAACAGGAAGCATAAAAGCAGTAAAATTAAGTATATCTATAAAGAACAGTCAAGGGATTCACAAAATAAAAGGAGTAACAATTTAGTGCTTTTAGAATGGGCTCAAACTTTTTTTTTAAGTTTATTTATTTTTGAGAGAGAGAGAGAGAGAGAGAGAGAGTGAGCATGGGCAGGGGAGGGGCAGAGAAAGAGGGAGAGACACAGAACTCGAAATGGGCTCCAGGCTCTGTGCTGTCAGCACAAAGCCCAATGTGGGGCTTGAACTCACAAACTGTGAGATCATGACCTGAGCTGAAGTTGGACGCTTAACCAACTGAGCCACCAGGCGCCCCAGAATGGGTTCAAACTTAAGCGATCATCAACTTAATATAGACTGCTGCAAGCAGACAATGTTATATATAAACCTAATAGTAGCCACAAATCAAAAACTGGTAATAGATATGTATACAATAAAGAGAAAGGAATGCAAGTATAACACTAAAGAAAGCCAGCAAACCATGAAAGACAAAAAGAATAGAAAGGAAAAGAGAAGAACCAAAAAAGCAACCATAAAACAAGTAATAAAATGGCAATAAGTACATACCTATCATTAATTATACTGAATGTAAATGAACTATACATTCCAATCAAAAGAGATAGGGTGATGGAATAGATTAAAAAAAAAAAAAAAACAAGACCCATCTATATGCCACCTATAAAAGACTCATTTTGGCCCCTAAAATACATGCACATTAAAATAGTAATAGTAGTAGTAATAGTCATATGGGACAAAAAGACTTTAAAAGAAAGACTAAGAAGACACAAAGTAGGAAACCATATAATCATAAACAATCCAACAAGAAGATAAATGTAAATATTAATTTACAAGTAATAATTTACAATTAATAATAAATAATTAGTTATTAATTTGGGAGCACCCAAATTCATAAAGAAGCTAATAAGAAACATAAAGGAAGTAATCAATAATAATGAAATAATAGTAGGGGACTTTAATACCTCACTTACATCAATGGATAGATCATCCAAACAGAAAGTTAACAAAGAAACAGTGGCTTTGAATGACATTGAACCTGATGTATCTAACAGATACATTCAAAAAATTCCATCCTAAAAACAGTAGAATACACATTCTTTTCAAGTGCACATGGAACATTCTCCAGAATAAATCACATATTAGGCCACAAAACAAGTCTCACCAAATTCAAAAAGATTGAAGTCATACCATCCATTTTTTATGACCACAATGCCAGGAAACTAGAAGTCAACCACAAGACAATAAGGAAAGAACACAAATACATGGAGGTTAAATAACGTGGTACTAAACAATGAATGGGTTAACCAAGAAATCAAAAAGAAAACTTAAAAAATACATGAAGATAAATGAAAATAAAAACACAACACTCCAAAATCTATGGAATGCAACAAAAGCTGTTCATTTAAGAGGGAAGAGAGAAGTTCATAGCAATACAAGAAGCAAGAACAAAACTTCAAATAAACAACCTACCTTACACCTAAAAAAGCTAAAAAAAAAAAAAGAACAAACCCCCAAAACAGTAGAAAGGATGAAATAATAAAGATTAAGGCAGAAATAAAAAACAGAAGCTAAAATAATAATAATAACAACAACAACAACAACAAAACAACAATAGAACAGATCAATGAAATCAGGAGCTTGTTCTTTGAAAAGACCAACAAAATTGATGAACCTTTAGCCAGATTCATCAAAAAGACAAAAAAGAAATAAAAGAGAGAGAAGGAGGACTCAAATAAAATCAGAAATCAAAGAGGAGAAATAACCAACACTACTTAAATACAAAGGATTGCAAGAGACTATTATGAAAAATTATATGCCAACAAATTGGACAACCTAGAAGAAATAGAAAAATTCTTAGAAACATATAACCTCTCAAAACTGAACCAAGATGAAATAGAAAGTTTAAATACACTTATTACCAGCAATGAAATCAAATAAATAATCAAAAAACTCCCAACAAACAGAAGTCCAGAACAGACAGCTTCACAAGTGAATTCTACCAAACATTTAAAGAGTTAATACCTATCCCTTTTTTTTTTAGGTTTTAAAGTTTTTTATTTTTTTAAAGTTAACATGTGCATAAAAGGAAACTGAATAACACAAGAAGCAAAGTACAAAGTCATCCATAATCACAAGCAGTTTACAGTTTGACTTCTAGGTCCCATGTATCTACACAACTACGCATTTTAATGTAATTAAGATCATAGTTATGTATCATGCTTTTTTTATACACCATGAATTTTAGCATTTCAAAGTCCCCAAACTATGAGTATTTTGATAACCAAGAATACACTACACCAACACCATCTGAAAGAAAAAAAATGTAATCCTGCCTTTCTTGGCGACAAAAATGGCAACAGGCCTCTGGATAAAGATATTGGCAGAGCTACAATTAAAATACTGCATTCCCTTAATGTTTAATTAAAAAGGAGACATAAAGTAACAGAGTACACAAAGTATAATGCTTCTAAAAGAAGTCATTATCCAATCTATACTATTCAAATATCAGCAAGGAGTGAATGAATCACTGAATCACTTAATGTATTCTTATAGTACAGCCAAAGAGATGCACACACATTAACAGTTATCACTAGAATGTAAATATGAACACATCCACACGCATCTCTCCCAGTATACTTCCTTCTGCCCCTCTGCGGCCAGTCGAATGAGTAAGTCCTGACATACATTTCTCAGAGACAGCCTAACACTTCCATGACCAAAATGCTTCCTTCCTATCAATTATAACAACATCAAAAACTTAGAAACTGGTTAATTCAGTAGCTGTACATTGTGTCATACACTGTCATCTCAGGACATCCAAAAGGCTTAGATGTTACCAAATAATGAACTTGTCCACAACAAACACAGGTACTTTATAAAAATGTACATATAGACTTATGTGTATAACGTAAAACTGTCTTCTAGATGTGGAGATACTAGCAAAAAGCCCTTCCTTTCATCCCTCCTCTGCTCCCTCCACCATTTCAATGACTAAATACAGGACTACATCCAGCTCCAAGAGGCAGATTAACAGACACTCCCAGAACAGTCCTTCCTAAAAACTAACAAAAGGGCATTTATAAAGGAATTATTTTACTACTTCCACTTTTAATATACTTTGGGCATTAGGACTTGGTTTATCCTTTAACACACAGCAATATTAACTAAAATGCACATACAGAATAATGGTTAGACAATCTGAATTTGTCTTAAAAACTCATGGGCACAGAACCCTTCTCTCATTTCCCCCCACCCTCCACTCCCCGCAGTGAACACTCTCCAAGACATCAAGTTTAACACTTCCATTCCCCAAATATAACCATTCCTGTAAATTAACAAAATTTAAAGGGTGTTGTTACTTTAACTCTCTACTTCTAACATATTGTTCACTTTCAAACATCTAGAAGACTAGATGTTTCAAAATTTGCCCACTACATACATAGTATCACTGAAGGAACATTCTCGCCTAGAACCCTTCCTCTTTTCACCTCTTATCAACCCACTGGAAAGTATAAGCATCTGTCATGCTTAGAGGGGATTTTAACAATTTCACTTCCTCTAGTTGTTTTCAGAACAGTTTTTCCTATTAATTTAAACACAAAGTGTATACAATGAATTTGTTTACTAACTACTTCTGTCATACACTGGCAACCTCTTTTAACACCTAGGAAGACTAGATGTTGTAAATTAGGACTCCTTTGTCTTTTACATACACTATATACATAGCTAAGTAAAACAGAATGCAGACATAGGGAACAATGGTTAATCCTGCCTAACTATAAACATACTGGTATAAAGCTCTTTGCGTTTTCTTCTTCCTCCCTGGACCAGCACAACTATTATATAATGTGTACTGCTCTGAGAGGTGGTTTGATCATTTTGATCATTCCATTTTCAAAAAGACAGTATTTCACATGAATTTTAACAAAAGGATATCTACAAAATGTGTTTTTTTTTCTACCTCTACTTTTAACATACTTTGTGCTTCTAACATACGTCTAAACATCTAGAAAGGCTAGATGTTTCAAATAAGGACTTAAGTTTGTCCACTATATACACAGTAGTGTTGAATAAACTACACACATGTAACAATGGGTTATATCTGAAAGTGTCTTTTGCATAGGAACATTCTAGTCTAGAACCCTTCATTTCTCAAAACTCCTCTCCACCACCAACCTACTGGGTGGGTACACATAGGCACATGTGTCACTTAGATGTGACTACAACGTCATCTCTAAAAGTTCTTTTCAGAAGACAGCCTTTCAATGCATGTTAACCGAAAGTGTACAAAATGTGTTAGTTTACTAACTCTACTTTTGTCATACATTGGCAACCTCTTTAATATCTAGAGACTAGATAAGATTAGGACCCTTTGTCCAATATATATACAATATATACAATCAAGTTAAATGCACATAACATATAGGGCAATGGATAAGCTGAAATTTCCTAGCACACACTAGCAATACATTTTTTGCAATTTCTTCCCTCTGACCTCCCACAAACCAATGAACAAGTAAGCATGCTGTTCAGAGAGGTGAGTTAGCAATTCCATTTCCAAAAATAGTATTTCCCACCAGTTTTTAAAAGCTATTTACAAGAAGCATTACTCTACTTCTACTTTTAAATACATCAAGCATTTCTAAATATCTAGAAAGACTAGATATATCATATAAGGACTTAGTTGTTCACTATGTACAAAGCACTGTTAAATAAAATTGCACACACCTAACAATGGGTATAATCTGAGGTATCTTCTAAATCTGACCATTCTGGCTAAACTATTCCCTCCCTCACTTCCTTCTCTCCACCACTAATCCAGTAGACAAGTACAGGCATGTGTAATTATTCACAAATTATTTAAAAAAATAGAAGAGGATATAAAGCTTCCACATTTATTCTATGAGGCCAGCATTACCCTGATTACAAGACCAGATAAAGAAACCAAAAAAAAAAAAAAAAAAAAAAGACAACTACAACCAATATCTCTGATGAACATAGATGCAAAATTCCTCAACAAAATATTAGCAAACTGAATCTAACAATACATTAACAAAGTAATTCACCATGATAAGGTGGGATTTACTCAAATGGTATGCAAGGGTGGTTCAATATTCCTAAATCAATTATTGTGATATATCACATCAGTAAGAGAAAGAAAAAAATCCACATGATCACTTCAATAGCTTCAGAAAAAAACTGACAAAATAAAATGTCCACTCATGATAAAATCGCTCAACAAAGTAGGTTTGGAAGGAACATACCTCAACATAAGAAAGGCCATATATGAAAAGCCCATAGCTAACATCATCCTTAATGATGAAAAACTGAGAGCTTTTCCCCTAAGATCAGGAATAAGACAAGAATGTCCACTCTCACCACTTTTACTGAGCATAGTGTTAGAGGCCCTAGCCACAGCAGCTCAGACAAGAAAAAGACATAAATGCATCCAAATTGGTAAGGAAGAAATAAAACTTTCACTATTGGCAGATAAGATGATACTATATATATAGAAAATTCTGAAGACTCCACCGAAAAACTACTAGAACTGTAAAATGAATTCAGTAAGTTTGCAGTACACATAATCAATATACAGAAATCCGTTCCATTTCTATACAGTAATAATGAAGTAGCAAAAAGATACTCCAGCTCAGAGCCTGGAGCCTGCTTCAGATGCTGTATCTCCCTCTCTCTGCCCCTCCCCGCTCGTGCTCATGCTCTCTCTCTCTCTCTCTTTCTCTCAAAAATAATTAAACATTAAAAAAATTTTTTTTTTAATTCCAATACAGAATTGCTGTTGAGGAGCTTAAAAGCTTACAGCAAAAAAGTGTTCAGTTCTGTCAGTTGTTGCTGTATTTTGAAGCTGAGTTGTTGGTGCAATAAATACATAGATATATATAAATAAAATAAATATATATATAAATATATATATAGCTAAATATATGTAGTTCCACATATATTTATGGAACTACTTAAGATTATTACATCTTTTTGGCAAATCAATCCCATTGCCAATATGCAATATCTCTCTTTATCCCTGGTAATATTTCTTGTTCTGGAGTCTACTTTGTCTGATACTAAAATAAAGTCCCCTGATTTCTTTGGACTGGTATTCGCATAATTTCCCATCCTTTTGATTTTAACTCATCTGCAACTTTAAAGTGGACCCTTTGCAAACAGGGTCTATAACTGGATCTTGCTTTTCAGTCTGACAATCTGCTTTCTACATGTGATATAATTATACATACTTTTATATATTAAAATATAAATATAAATATGATTTAGTTTAAAATTCACCATCTTTCTAACAGTGTTCCAGGTCCCATCTGTTCTTTGCACCTTGTTCTTATTCTACTGATTATTTTTGGATTAAGTATTTTTTATATTTCATTTTATCTTTACTATCAGCTTATTAGACATACCTCTTTGTTTTATCTTTTTTTTAATGTTTACTTATTTTTGAGAGAAAGAGAGAGGTGGGGCAGGGGCAGAGAGAATCCCAAGCAGGCGCCACACTGTCAGTACAGAGCCTAATGTGAGGCTGTAACCCACAAACCACAAGATCATGACCTGAGCCGAAACCAAGAGTAGGGCATTCAACTGAGCCACCCAGGCACCCCGGTTTTATTTTTTTTAAGGTTGCCCGGGGATTACAACATTTCCTTTTAACTTCTCACATGCTAATCTCAAGTAATTTATCATTATGCATACTGTAATAAAGCTTATGGCAGTACACTGGCATTTCTTCCTCCTACCCTTTATGCTATTATTGTCATGCATTTTACTTCTACATGTATTATAAACCCAATTCACTTTTATTTTGGCTTATAATAGTGAATTATCTTTTACAGATTTTTTCAATAAGGAAAAATGTCTCTTGCATTTACCAACATTTACTATTTCCAGAACTCTTTATTGTTTCGTGTAGGTCTGAATTTTATCTGATATTAGTTTTTCTTCTGCCTGAAGAACTTCATTCTTTTAGTGTAGGTCTTCACTTTTATTTTGGCTGAAACAAATTTTTTTCTGTCCTTTTTGAAATATGATTTCCTTGGATATGCAAATCTAAAGAATTAGATTCTAGTCCACAAATCTAGCTTATTATACATGAGGATTAAAATAAGATACTTTACTGAGAAAATCCTTTTACTAACAAAAAACTCTAGATAAAATTTTCTGGTCAATTTTCAAACTAAAAATTCACTTCAAATTTCTCCCCTACTTCCAAAATATTTTTTCCTATTCAAACACTTTAGGAATCCATATGAGTTTTTCCAAAATACTTAGCCAAAGTGAAGGCAGAATCTTTTCCTAATGAAAACTTGTTTTTAACCCCAAAAATCTAAATTATTTATACATAGACTCCCGAAGAAACATGCTTTTCACTTCCCATGAGAGTACTGTGGAAGGAATAATAAAGGACGTCCAAATATGTCCAAGTCCTAATCTTCCAGAACATGTGAATATGTTAGGTTACATGGTAAAGGGGAATTAAGATGGAAGATGGAATTAATGTTGCTAATTAAGCGATTCTGAGATAGAAAAATCATCTTGTATTATCTATGCGTGTTCAATGTAATCACAAGGATCCTTATAAGTAGAAGAAGGCAGAAGAAAAAGAACTAGAGAGATGGCTCAATGTTGCTGGCTTTGAAGACTGAGAAATGGGAACACTAACCCAAAGAATGCAGGTGGCTTTTAGAGACTGAAAAAAGAAAGTAGACTCTTTCATAGAGCCTCCAAAAGGGAATGCAGCCTTACCAATACCCTAACTTTAGTCCTGTGACCTTTGTTTCAGGTTTGTGATGTCTAGAACTCTAAGATAATAAATCCATGTTCTTTTCAGCTATCATACTTTGTTACATCAGCAAAAGAAACTAATACGATCATGGTACCTAGGAGTAAGATGCTGCTGTATCAAACATCAAGGATATGGAAGTGACCTTGGAATTGGGTCACTGACAGGGGCTGGAGGAATTTTTAGACCCATAATATTAAAAGCCTAGAGTGCCTCAAATAGACTCTTGATATAATACGGATGTTTAGACCTAGAAGGATGTGGGGATCATGTTATTGGAAAATCGAAGAGTAAGGATACTTATTATATAGTAGCAGAACTCAACAGAACTATGTGTGTTGTGTAAAAAGCAGAATTTATTTAGCTGAGATTACCAAGCAAAGTGTTGGAGGTACACTCTGGTTTCTTTTTCTTTTTTTTTTTTTTCTTTTTAAAGTTTATTTATTTATTTTGAGAGAGAACGAGCACATGGGGCAGAGAGAGAGGGAGAGAGAGAATCCCAAGCAGGCTCCATGCTGACAGTGCAGAGCCTGATGCAGGGCTCAAGCTCACAACCATGAAATCACGACCTCAGCCAAAATCAAGAGCCCGATGTTTAACTGACTGAGCCACCCAGGCACCCCAGTACAGTCTGGTTTCTTCCTCCTGCTTATAGTAAAACATGAGAGAAAAGAGATAAGTTGAGAAAAGAGCCGTTAAACAAAATAGAACCAGGATATGATGATCTGGCAAATCTTCAGCCTATACAGATTGCAAAAAGTGCAAAAATTAAGAGATTTGATGTCAGGAAAGCATGCTGGGGAAAAAACTAAGGATGTGGCTAAGCAACTTTTTGCTAATATTTCAGAAAATTAAAAAATTCAGAGTAGTCAGTCACATAAAGAGCTCTTTAAAAGGATTATGCATGAGACCCACAGACCCCTCAGCCATTTCAGCTGAAGGCAAAAACAGAGATTGGATTATCTAGGAAAAACCTGTAGGGGAGCCTTCTGTCTAAAGAAGTGAATCCCCATGACACAGAGAGCACAAAGTTCTTGAGAACTGTATGCCAACAGAAGCACTACCAGCTAGGACCGAAGAATACAGAAGAGGACAAGATGAAAGAAGACTGCCAGATTCCTAAAATTGTACAGGCAACAAATATGCTAATAAACCCACTCAGCTGCAAACATATGCTACCTGTCATGGAAAAGGCAGGATGACTCATAGGACATAGCTAAGAGGCCAGAGCTCAGAGCTTCAAGACACAGAGGATTATTCCCAGGTCTTGAAACTAATTGCCTGTATGGATTTCAAAATTACTTAGAACCAGTGGTGTTTTTTTGTTTTCCTTCCGTCTTCTCCTCTTTCAACCCAGAATGTCTATTAACTATTGTATTCTTAGGATATCCCAAGGGAAAATGATATCAATTTCTCTCCATAGCAAAGCACAGCACAGCTAAAAGTATACTGTCCTAATTATGCTATTAAACAAAAGAAACACAGGCACCTTCAGTCTTTCAACTGTAAAGTGGGAGTTAACATTATCTTAAGGTAACATGTAAAAGTATCTAGCCAAATACAGAATTCTTATTACAAGGCAATTCTTCATAAATGTTATTTGAAAAAAAAAAATGCTAAATTGGAAAAGCATTAACTTACTACCTTTTAAGTTTCTGTTATTATTAAAATATGAGATACACCAAAAATAAATGCATTATAAAAACCCCTTAATTTTTCTTGGAAATGTTAATTTTATCTAAATTCCTCCCCATAAGTGAGAAAAAAGAAGATATTCTGTTACAAAGTCAAGGACACCTGGTTTTGGAGTAAAGGGCATGATAAATGTGTGTGCCATATTATTTGTTCTCTATTCTAATTAAATGAGATTTAGGAGCTATACAAACTGCAAAGAGAAAAGCCCATTTTGAGTTTAATGGACAGATACCCAAGAGAACTATCTGCTTAATTCTTGTTTCTGTTTTTGTTTCTTTTTGCTCTGGCTTTATTTTTAACAACTGTATTGAGTTATAATTTACATATGATAAAATTCTTCTGTCTGAAATGTACAACTCAACAGTTTTCAGTATATATACAGAATTGTGCAACCATCACCATAATATAATTTTAGAACATTTTCATCACCCAAAAGGAAACCTCTTACCCAGGGCAGTAATTCCCCCATTTCTCCTCTCTCCAGCCCTAGGTGACCAGTAATCAATTTTCTGTGTCTATCAAATTGCCTATGTTAAGCATCTCATATCAATGGAATTATGCAGTACATAGTCCTTTGTGACTGAATTCTTTTCTTAATTCTTATATTATCAGCTCAAAGTTGTTTCTTAAAATAGACATTGACACCAACACTACATGAACATAAAGCTAAAATTAGAACATTTTAGTCATTTCTCAAAATAAGATATACAAATAACCGTATGTGCAAGAAAAATAGTGCTCAACGTTCATTAGCCATCAGGAAAATGCACACCAAAACCACTGCACTCACTAGGATAGCTATAATAAAAAAGAGAATGACGTGTTGCCAAAAATTGGAGAAACTGGAACCCTCATGCATTGCTAGTGGGAATGTAAAACAGTGCAGCCACTTTTGAAAACAGTGTGGCAATTTCCCAATGGTTAAACATAAAGTTACCACATGATCCAGCAATGCCAATCTTAGGTACATACCCATGAGAAATGAAAACCTAGACAAAAACATTATGTGAATGTTCATAGCAGTATTATTTCTAACAGTCAAAAAGTGGGAACAACTTAAATGCCCATCAACAGAAAAACGACTAAATAAAATGTGGCATAACACATGTTGCAATATTACTTAGTAATAAAAAGAAATGAGGTCCTGATACGTGAAACATGGGTGAACCCTGGAATCAATGCTAAGAGATAGAAACCAGTAGCAAAGGACCATATATTGTATAGTTTCATTTATATGAAATATTCAGAACACACAAGCCTATGAAGACAGAAAATAGATTAGTGGTTACCTAGGGCCAGGGGTTTGTGGGGTACAGAGGGTGACCACTACGAGTGTGGGGGTATGAAGGTTCTTTTGGGGGTAATGAAACTGTTCTAAAATTATGGTGATAGACAACTCTGTAAATATACTAAAATCCTTTAAAGTATACACTTTAGAGAGATGAATTATATGCTATATGAATTATATCTCAATAAAACTATTTTTAAAAAGAAAAAAAAGACTCAACAGAAGAAACCTGTCTCTCTTTTGGCAATTTTCTCTTCCTATTGTGTATTTATTAATACACAATACCGATGAACAAAAATAAAAACTATAAAGTTTATACTCAGACTCAATATGGGTCAAAATCTCATTGAATAATCAGATATCCAAAATATAATAAGGTATAAATTGATGGCTGTTTCAACTTTTCAGGATATTCCCAACCTTTAAAATGAAATCAGACTGAAACAAGTCTGCTCCCTTCAAGTCTAAATTAGTTCAAAACAAGAAAACATATATTAGGAAATATTTGATCGAATCTAACATAGGATCACTGGTCTATTTTATCTCTAAAAGAGCAGCTAAAACAATCTCCCTTTTAACACCAAGGAAATCCAATTATTTTGCCAATTTCTAATTTCCAAACAATTTCCCAATCTTGTTCGGGACAGCAATATATACCATACTTTCTGACTGTAAACTCACAGACAGCCGTCTGATTTTTTTTTTTTATAATCTTCGTTGAGGGACAAAGATGGGTCTAACTTCCTCTATTCATCTCCTTTTCTAAAATTTAAGAAATCAAAAATAAGAGAAAATCTTTTTTATCCTTTGGTTAGCTAAACTATAAAATAGAAGCAGAGCTTTCTGGGAAATAACACCCTATCTGCCAAATAAATTGACAAAAAGCATCTGTCAATATGTTGATCAGAGATACTGTAAAATATACATTTTTGATTCAAGTCCAGATATCATTTAAAGCAGTCAGTGCCAATGTTAACTTGGTTTTCCACCAGAACTTATTGGGTATTAAAAGCAGCTATATAGATTTTACTAAGTAAGCAATGAAATAATAGTGCCCTAATTATACCCTGGTGAATTCTAATAATGTTAGGGTAGAAAATATGCCGGAGGTTAGGATGAAGGGAATCAGTTCATAAAGATAGAAACAGGGCACAATATTTTCAGTGCCTAATTCTACTGCAAAGATCAAGACATATGGTGAGGCTCATGTTTTTCAGTCAACAATTATTGACTCAGAGCTCACAGTGCTAACATACACCAGTGAAGAAGACAGATAAAATCCCTGTCCTTAAGGAGATGTTAATTCTAATTTTTATAAAATACAAACATAAATCCTTCTCTCCTTTTGTCACTGTGCATAATGGAATATAACCAGGGTAACCATTTCCCAGTCTGAAATCTCCTCTAGTGCCACTTAGGAATCTTGACGTCATGCAGAGTAATAAATCTCTTTAGACTAGTGCTTAGAAACATGGACAAACTGATATATTCAACATGGTAACCACCTTTTTAAGCCATCACAAATCATAGGCCTGATTAAAGTATCTCTTCTACTCCACTGTGAGGGAAAATAATAGGAAAGCTGTTTTCATTACCAAAAGCTCAGGCACATGGACTGGTTTTAGAGCCAACGAGAGTGTGTAAGTGTACGTGGGTATGCTGGGGTAGGGGGGGAGGAGTGGGGGAGGGTTGATATGGAAACAGGGAGGCACTTAATATTTTGATGTAGTGGAATGAAAATGTCATATTACCAGGAACCAGAAGACGTGCCACATCTTGGCAAAGTCTCAAATCTTTGGGTCTTCATTATCTTTTTCCTTTAGAAAAAGGTCTGAACTACAGTCACACTTCACTCTAAAAATATGAATCCATGACTCCCTATGCAAAACCTAAAGCTACATCTCCTGAACTTTCACACAGTGATCCAGAAGATAGTCTTCTACACTGAGGAAGGAGTAAATAATGAAGCAAAAGATCAATAGTCTCTGACATACCTTTCTTTCCACCACTCAGTTCCTTCCCATTAACTTGTGTATTTGATCACAAATTTTGGGAAATAGAGTACAAGATTGGGCAGGGGATGATGAAATGAGGAGGTAAGGGAACTAATGAAGGGGAGAGGGCATCAGGGGATCCTTAGAAGTTTTCTGAGATAAGCAAAAGACTGCAGGGTACAACACGAGGGGCAGGAATGAAACTATGATAAAGACAGGCAAAAGCAGTGATATGAAATAAGAAATTACTATTCTTATCATAACTTCCTCACCTCATTCCTTTCTTATTCTCCACTACAGGACTCTTGTTGAAGATCTATAACACCCTGTTGAGGATCTAGAGCACCCATCTGAAGACCCACAGCACCCACTTGCCACTTTTCCCCCACCACAGGATTTCTTCCCAGTGACTGTTCTCTGCTCTCCTTGCCATATTCCAATTAGAATTCCACTAATTCTAATACATGCCCTTCTCTAATATGTTTCCCTGGGAAGAATCTAACTAAGTCTCAGCAGATGTTCCCAATTAATTTTATTATCAATCCTAAGAGGTCATGCAATTTAACAGGAATTACATTCACCTAAAGTGTTTTTAGATGTGGGAAAGACCTTTATTTACAAAGAACTGAAGCCAAGTCCATTCTCCTCTTTCTCCTTTTCATTGCCATACCACACCAAGCCACAGTGGTGCTGATGTTGTCTGTGTTAGTCCTTCCTGTACTACATCGCCTTAATGAAGGAGTTCCCAGCACCAGGAAAGGTGTGTTAGGGATACTTTTGAAGCAAGAGGGATTTTTCAGCACCTTTACACATTCTCTGTAGGCTATCATCTTCTTGACTCACACATTAGGCTTCCCTGAGAAAGCAGACGGCAATATCATTAGCTCTCAGTATAAAACCAAACTGGTTGGGCACCTGGGTGGCTCAGTCAGTTGGGCGTCCGACTTTGGCTCAGGTCACAATCTCACAGTTTGTGAGTTCGAGCCCCATATTGGGCTCTGTGCTGACAGCTCAGAGCCTGGGGCCTGCTTCAGATACTGTGTCTTACCTCTCTCTCTGACCCTCCTTGCCTCACACTCTGTCTCTTTCTCTCTCAAAAATAAATAGACATTAAAAAAAAAACACCAAACTGATAAAACCAAGCAAATCTGCCATATACGCTGTATATACACCGTATATACGCCATATATGTGTGTGTGTGTGTGTGTGTGTATGTAAATATGTATATATTTTAGTTTTGAATGAAAGGTTTTGGTTAAATAGCCCACCCTTATATTGTTTACTCTAGTCCAAGTTTTCAAAGTGTTTCCCATTTACCTAACTTCTTGTCCCTGAAGACAATCATTTGAGCTAGTTGGAGAGCTAAGAATATCAGATTTGATGAGTCTGCATAAAAGAAGTACTGGTTTAGAGGAAAGTATCTAGACTAAATAGCCTGGGGTTGGATCACACCTGTACCGCTACTAGCGTGTGACCTCAAACAAGTTATTAACTCCTCTGTTCTTCAATTCGTTTGTGTGTAAAAATGGGGATAAAAATAATACTTGTTAGAGTTCTTGAGGATCAAATGACTTAATGCAAAAATAATGCTTAGAACAATGCCTCATTCTGGTAAGCACTCAATAAATGGCCATTGTCACCATCACACCACCACCGTCACCATATTCATCATCAATATGCGGGCTGGTTATTTACTCTGAGAAATTAATCATATGATTACCAGATCCTCACCTCACTTGGTGCCCACGTAGATGTCCTGATGTTGCTACTCGCTGGTAACGCCATTCCTGTGTCTTCTTTTATCATAATTGATTTCAAGAAGTGTTGAGTTGTGTCATGAAACTAAATGAATTCAATGAGTCATCTATATTTCCAATTAAAAGAGGGAAGTAATACCTTAAGTGGCAGCATGCTGAGTAGATGTATGACTTTCTCCCTTTCTGGACTGTGATAGTAAAATACCACAGGACTGATGGCGGCGTAGGAGGACGCTGGGCTCACCGCGTGTCCTGCTGATCACTTAGATTCCACCTACACCTGCCTAAATAACCCAGAAAACTGCCAGAGGATTAGCAGAATGGAGTCTCCGGAGCCAAGCCCAGACGAAAGGCCCACGGAAGAGGGGCCCCTCCTGAAGTGGATCACCTAAGGAGAAGCGAGCTAAGCCTGCCCCTCCTGCCCCCGTGCACCTTGCCTAACCACCCCAGCTAAGACGCCAGATCCCCAGCATCACAAGACTGGCAGTGTGCAAGTAGCCCAGACGGGCCCCACCGCCCCACAGTGAATCCCGCCCCTAGGAGAGGGGAAGAGAAGGCACACACCAGTCTGACTGTGGACACAGCGGTGGGCTGGGGGCAGACATCAGGTCGGACTGCGGCTCTGCCCACCAACTCCAGTTATACACCACAGCACAGGGGAAGTGCCCTGCAGGTCCTCACCACTCCAGGGACTATCCAAAATGACGAAGCGCAAGAATTCCCCTCAGAAGAATCTCCAGGAAATAACAACAGCTAATGAGCTGATCAAAAAGGATTTAAATAATATAACAGAAAGTGAATTTAGAATAATAGTCATAAAATTAATCGCTGGGCTTGAAAACAGTATAG